GGAGGTTGCTGTGAGCTGTAATGCCACGGCACTCTACCCAGGGGGACAGCTTGAGGCTCTGTCTCAAAAAAAAAAAAAAAAAAAAAAAGAACAGACATGGTCCCTACTTTCATGGTGCATTAAAGCCTAGTGGGAGGGCGGTGCCAGCCACATACACCAAGGCTAGTGGATTCAAGCCTGCCCAGGCCTGCTAAACGACAACTGCAACAAAAAAAATAGCTGGGCATTATAGTGGGCACCTGTTAGTCCCAGCTACTCAAGAAGCTGAGGCAAGAGAATTGCTTAAGCCCAAGAGTTTGAAGTTGCTGTGAGCTGTGACAGCACAGTACTCTACCAAGGACAACATAGTGAGACTCTGTCTCAAAAAAGGGTGGGGGGGGGGAGCCTGGTGGGAGAGGCAGGTGTAGTCTGTTCACACAAATAGCATACCTCGGCTTGGCGCCTATAGTTCAAGCAGCTAAAGTGCCAGCCACATACACCAGAGCTGGTGGGTTCAAATCCAGCCCAGGCTCACCAAACAACAATGACAACTACAACCAAAAAATAGCTGGGTATTGTGGCGGGCACCTGTAGTCCCAGCTATTTGGGAGGCTGAGGCAAGAGAATTGCTTAAGCCTAGGAGTTGGAGGTTGCTGTGAGTTGTGATGCCATGGCACTCCACTTGGGGCAACAGCTTGGAGGCTCTGTCTCAAAAAAAAAAGGGCATACCTCAAACTTGAGGTGAAGAAAGCATGTCTGAAACTGAGCGTTCAGTGGAGGATGGCTTAGTCTGGCAGGTTAGAGAAGGCTTCCTAAGGAAGTAATGTTTCGGATAGCATGAAGGCAAAGTCATTCCAGGGAGGGAGAACAATGCACAAGTCATGTGGCACGAAGCAGGTGAGTGTGAGGGGACTGAAGAGACTTAAGATGCAGAGAGGCCTTGTCCATGGTTTGGAAGCTGGGCAGGGCCTACTCCAGATGGCTCTAACAGTTGATAAGGTTTTGGACTTAAGGGGGCGGGGAGGCACGGACCACCAGAGACTTCTAAGCAGATTACAGTTTCAGATCACTGGCCTTGGGTCTGTATGAGTACATGGTTGAGTCAAAGGGAGGGTTTTGAGGAGGCTGTGTAGTAAGCCGTGGTTAAGATTATGAACTTTGGCTTTGGGGTCACATGTGGGTTCCAGTTCTGGTTTCCTAACTAGTACTCTGAGGTTGAGGGGGTCATATAGGCACCTGTAAATCACAATCATCCTATGATGACAGCACACAGGAGGTGATCTGTACAAGGACCTGGCTTTTGTGGACACCAGCGGTGGGGGCTTGCTTTCCTGCCCCTTGTTCTCTGCATCCCATGCCTTCAGTGTTGCCCCTACACAGACTAACTCTTTTTTTTTTTTTTTTTTTTTTTAGGAAAGAGTCCCCCTGTTTTGCCCTCCATAGAGTGCTGTGGCATCACAGCTCACAGCAACCTCCAGCTTTGGGGCTTAGGTGATTCTCTTGCCTCAGCCTCCCAAGTAGCTGGGACTACAGGCGCCCGCCACAACGCCCGGCTATTTTTTGGTTGCAGCCATCATTGTTGTTTGGCGGGCCCGGGCTGGGGATTCGAACCCGCCACCTTAGGTGTATGTGGCTGGCGCCCTAGCCGCTTGAGCCATAGGCGCCAAGCCCACAGACTAACTCTTTACCTTCTTTGCCCTAGGAGGTGGCCTTGGTGGTACCAGAAGAGGTGGAGCTGACGTGAACATCCGGCATTCAGGCCGCGATGATACTTCCCGCTATGACGAGAGGTGAGATTGGGCACCAGTTTCCTGGGATGGGGGGTGGTCACGTGGGGGCCCCTGCCACACACCTCTGCCCACCTCATCCAGGCCGGGCCCCTCCCCGCTTCCCCACAGGGACCGGGACCGGGACCGTGAGCGGGAGCGAAGAGAGCGGAGTCGGGAGCGGGACAAGGAGCGCGAACGGCGTCGTTCCCGCTCTCGGGACCGGCGAAGGCGCTCACGGAGTCGCGACAAGGAGGAGCGGAGGCGCTCCAGAGAGCGGAGCAAGGACAAGGACCGCGAACGGAAGCGGCGAAGCAGCCGGAGCCGAGAGCGGGCTCGGCGGGAGCGGGAACGCAAAGAGGAGCTGCGTGGGGGGGGTGGCGGTGGTGGCGACATGGCGGAGCCCTCTGAGGCAGGTGATGCACCCCCTGATGACGGGCCTCCTGGGGAGCTGGGTCCTGATGGCCCTGATGGTCCTGAAGAGAAGGGACGCGATCGTGACCGTGAACGACGGCGGAGCCACCGGAGTGAGCGCGAGCGGCGCCGCGACCGAGACCGAGACCGGGAACGCGAGCACAAGCGGGGGGAGAGGGGTGGTGAACGGGGCAGAGATGAGGCCCGAGGTGGGGGTGGCGGTGGCCAGGACAATGGGCTGGAGGGTCTGGGGAATGATGGCCGAGACATGTACATGGAGTCTGAGGGAGGCGACGGGTATCTTGCTCCAGAGAATGGGTATTTGATGGAAGCTGCTCCAGAGTGAAGATCCTCCCTTTGCTCTGCTGGACGTGTTCCTGCCCAACATTTTCTGTCATCTTCCCCAACTTTGGCCACCTGATTTGCCCTTTGAGGGTAGGAATTTTGATTATTTGTTCTGTCCCCTTGGATTTAAAAATAAAATTAATTTCCTGTTCATTGTAGGTGCCTTGATTTCTTGATGGATTTACTCTCACCCAAGATGGAGTGCAGTGTCACCATCACAGCTCACATACAGCCTCAGACTCCAGGGTTTAAGTAATCCTACATCAATCTTCCAGGTAGTTAGGACTATAGGGGCCAACAACTGCACTCAGCTAATTTTTTAATTTTTGTGGAGACAGGTCTTACTGTGTCAACCCAGTCTCATCTCAAACTCCTGGCCTCAAGAAATCCTGCCTTGCTCTCCTAAAGTGCGGGATTTAATAAACCACCCTACGTAACCTGGCCAGATGGCCCTATTTTGTTTTCCAGAGCCTACCTAGAACTTGAACTT